GACAAAAAAAAAAAAAACGAGTTGAAAGCGTACCGAGCCGCAAAAGAGACACCGTTTCTCAAGCGGACAAAGGCGTTTCATTCATTCATATCTCGTCATTCATAACCCCCAACCACCCCTCCTCCCCCGACACAGTTTTGCGTAGGCCCCCCAGAAGTCTAGGATCAGCTCTGTAAATAAATATATTAATATTTCATTCAGTACTGAAAATATTATATAAAACATACACCACCATTTAAAAGTTTGGGTTCAGTAAGATTTTAGTAAGAAATAGCAAGAAATTAATACTTTTATTCAGCAGTGATTTATTAAATTGCTCCAAAGTGACAATAAAGACACGTTACAACAGATTTATATTTCAGTTATTTAAAACTTACTGACCCCAATTTTTGAACGGTAGTGTAATTTAATCAAATTAAAAATCAACTTACCCAGTACTTTTGTATATGAACTATATTTTGTAGGCTTCTTAGAGCCAAAACATTAAGTAAGCTAAAGTTCTCAGTGTGGTGCTGCAATGTGTTTAGTGTTTGAAATCGGTCACTTATGGGCTTCCATTTTAGACATGATGTTTTACAAGCGTACAGCAAATGTGTTTTACTTAGTGTTTATCACTTCACATAACACGATGCATGCAAACAGACACTAAATCCCTCAGTAAAAGCAGGAGCTTGCTGATTTAAGGAGAGTTTTATGCTCTCACACTACTTCATACACTAACTCATAAAATAAGTCAAATAAACCACAAAATAATGCGACATGTTTAATTTCCACTAAATTCCACTAACAGTACGGATCCTTTGTGGTAATGAGTGCCTTATATATACAAACAGTGTGCCATGGATGAAGTGGCTTCTTCTGTAGGTATAAACCACCTAATATAGGACACAGTGCACATGAATTTTCCAGTATTATGGTAGACAGCAATTGCCTTTTATATGTCTGTATGATTGTCTTATTCAATGGGGCAGAATTAAAACATTTTATTGTAAAAACTCTTGTTCTGTTTTATTCATATTTACTTCTCTGATTATTATTTGAAATGTAATTTGTGCTAATAATAATGTAATAAAAATAAAAGGTTACAACCCTTTGATATCTTAAGCCTTACAAAAATGTATTCTGATCTATTGTGTGGATTTTTTTCACAATGTTTTGTGTTAATCTATTTATTTCGTCCCAATGTATCATTTCATACTCCGTTTCTACACCAGCTACACCAGTAA